ATCTTGTCAACAAGCACCGTTTTTGTATATACATTATATAAAATAAACTATACTTTTTTACAATGATCTTTATAAAATAAAGAGTTAAACAGACAGGGGCTCAAAGAAGATGAAGATGACAAATCGCAATCTTTTCATAGAGCCCCCTATATACATTTTCATTAGGTTATGGATATTAAATTGAATTAAAAACCCTAATGGCCATAAAACTGCTGCGCTGATTAATAAAAACAAATAAATAAGATTATAAAGAAAATTACTTTGTAATCCTTTTAAGCACAAATAATAATCAAATTTTAAAAATTTCTTTTTTTATCAGAAACTTAAATGAACTTAATGACTTTGCCATACATTTGGATCCTTTTTGATATCTATTCCATATATTTGGCCCCCGATATGCAATGCTATATTCAGAATATTTATTAAGGTTTTGAGGCAGTTTATATGTGTTACTTATATTTGATCTTAGATAGTAGTTTTCATTTATGTTTATTTCAAACTTGTTGGTAAAGTTTGTAGGAGAGAGATTATAATTAAATTGATACATAAAAATTAAATGCTGATAGATATTTATTTCAAAAACATCCATCATTTTCATATCTTTCATTATAGGTTTTGCATGCTCCCGCTTATTTTTAAAGTAAATGATTCTGCATGCGTGTTTTTGTAGACTATAGATTTTTATAAGTTTTGATGGCTGAGTACTTGCCCATGATATGTTTGCATAGCTGATAAAGCAATGAATTAGTCCAAAGTAAATTAGTTTTAGACTTTGTTTATTGATATATGAGTTATTGATATATATTATTGATATATGAGTTTACCCAGCGCAATTAATATAGTGTGAACAAAAAATTAGATCACTGAAAAAAAATACACAAAAAACTTTTAAATCAATGGCGCAAACGCATTTTTTGAGGAATAACTTTCAAAATGTGTCAAAACATAGAAAATAATGCGTTTTACTAAAAAATGCAAAATGTAGCCATAATTCATTTTTTTTTTAAATAAATGCAAGTGTTTAAATCAAGGCGTTGTTCCAATTTCGGTAACTCTCCCCTATGTTCTTTTCTTAAAATCATGAAAATTCGAATCACTTGTGACTATTAACTACAAAAAAAAAAAAGTTATAAATAATCTAAATACATATAATAATTATTTTAATAACTATAATATATAATTTATAATAATTATATAACAAAAACAATAACATATATAATAATTATATAATAATTATAATATAAAAATATCTATCAAACAATTACCACAATCACTTTTAAACTAATAGATTGTAAATAAGCAGAAAAATATGTTCAGTTAAAAAATACTTTTTTATGGGATTCTGTGTATGTAACTTTAAATATAAACATAATGCTTAAAAAATATTTTATGAATATATTTTTGAATATGTTAAGTTAAATAACTTAAGTTATGTAAATAACTTTAAATATAAACATAATCCATAAAAAATATCTTTTAAACATACTTTACACATGCATTACTTAATTAATGAAACATTACATACACTATATTTTGAGTATTTATACAAATCCATGTGCATAAACAAGGAAAAGTATAAGTAGCTATGTATTTCTTTGTACAAAGTCACGATATTTTTATTATAAACACTATTTGTAACAAGAGAAGTAACACATACTATTTCAGAAAGGTGAGGTTTTTACATTGTCTATTAAATGTAAAGATAAATAAAAACACTTATTGCAAGATGGAGAATCATGAAAGCTAAATTTCTATTTGAACAATTGGTGCACTGTTTGAGACGATTGCTATTTTTATAAAAATAGCATAATGTATTTTTATAAAAATAACATAATGACATTTGGTCCTTATTTCCTTTTAAAAAATAAGTTAAGCTATGTTAAATTTAACATAGCTTAACTTATTTTTTAAAAGGAAATAAGGACCAAATGTCAAGTGGGTCAAAATATTTTACAAACTTAAGTTTGTTTGTAAGTTGAGTTTGTAAAACTCAAGTTTTACACACATGAGTTTGTAAAATACCTTGAGAAAAACTATTGCAAACATGAGTTATAATTTTATGATTGGTACAACTGTGTCACCATATCTAACAGTTACTGATTGGGTCATCATATCTAACAGTTACTGATTGTGGACCAAGATGATTCGCACTTATATGAAATAAAAAGCTAAAAATGTAGTTTTTCAAATGGATTCCGTATTTAGGGAGCACAATAGTTATTGATGAGTAATGTACCGGTGTTTATATTAAATGAGTTTACAAAAGATAAGTGAAAAATCCGATGTTGGATTTTTGATAGGTTTGTTGGGCAACGTTAATCAGCTAGATAAAACGTTGTAATAACGTTATTTATTAATGTGATATCTAGCTGATATAGCTGATATAAACATTGATTAAATAATATCAAAATAATTAATTGATTTTTGTTAGCGAGTTTCGTATGCAGTAGCTCATTAACTTTTCTTCATAAAAGCTCATTCGAATTCAAAACTCAATGTTTATGTTGTATTTCTTTAATTAAATATCACAATAGAGAAAGTTTTCTTTTAGTTAGCATTTCTGATAGTCCATGTGATTGAACCATATTACTTGCAGTCAGTACAATTTCAATAACCATTGAACTGTTATTGAGTTGGTGAATACTGATTTCTTCTTTATGGTTTACAACTTAACGACTAGATTTATCCTACAAAACGTCTAATTCAGTCCTAATAATATAGATGATTAACATTATTTTTCAACGTAACGTCGACATTTTAAAAATGTGTGGACAGGATTCGAGTCCGACAGAAGGCATGTTTTCTAATTGAAAATATTCCCAACTTATTTTACTAATAAACTTTTTTAAATCAATGCCAACAAATATTTTGAGGAACAGGAAACTATGCCCATTAAACAAAAATGCCTCATGATTTTCTGTTGTATACCTTTGCTCCTACTTATACAATATTTATATAAAAAATAAATAAAAACAAAAAACTTACTAGATTGTAACATATGAGTATTTGCACAATGACAACAACGTTTATTTTTTGAACTTTGTAGAATATCTAACCCTAATTGACACAGTAATGAACGAACATTTGTAGAATATCTAACCCTAAATAACACAGTAATGAAAGAAAATTTGTAGATGTCTAACCCTAATTGACACAGTAATGAACGAACATTTGCGCAAAGTTAAAATCAAGAAATTACGGTATATTACCTTGGAAAAGATATTCAAAAAGAACTTTTGCAGATTCTAGCAGAACCTATAAAATAAAATTTTGTCTCTCATAAAACCCGCAAAAAATTACTTAATTATTTTTAATTCCATACTAAAAAACGTCATTTTGAACTGATGATTAGGAATATATGTTTTGTTGAATCAAACAGTTTGATAGTAAGATGTTTGAGCCTGTAGTAATAATAAAACAACATTTTTAAGGATTTGTTTCATTATACAAAACTACTTGAGCATTAATAACAAAAACTTGGACTTCATTTTTTTAAAGTTCTTTTGAGTATCCTAAGTACAGAGTTTGATTTAAGAGTAGCTTTATTAACCTGTTCTGACCATTTGAGTTTCTTATTAACTAGGGTACCCAATGTTTTCTTAATAGATACCGCTTCAAGAGATATGCGTCTACAATTTGTGTCTTTCAGGGTAATGTCAAATTCTGCTTGATTAATATTAGAGAAAGAGGCACACTGAACTATTTAGTACATGTTTTGAGCACTCGAGAATAATTTCCGTCATTACCGCTGACTTTTAAAATGTTAAGTGCAGAGTTTTTCAATACTACAGCAACTAAACAAAGAGCTTAAAAATGAAAAACAAACAACTTCGAAAAATAGAGGACTGAGAGTAAGTTACAGGTGACATAAACCTTTTAAAAAACTGATTTTAGACAGCTCTTACAACACTTGTAAAGAGTTTTTGCGCATATGAATAATATATTGTTTTGTAAATTATACTCATTTATCACTGTAACTATATAACTAATGTTAATAACTTTATCTTTTAATTTTTTTTTTGGAGACATATAAATATTGTTTTTTGTAAATGTGTAGTAATGTTTCTTGTAAAAAAAAAATTATTATATACTCATACAATAATACTTACATACTATGTCAAAAGCACTTTTGACATATTATATAAGTATTTAAGTTTGCTTCATTAATGATAAATTAATCTCAAGCTCCGAAAAATTGTGACATTGTTAGTTGGTAAGTTTTTATTTGTTAGAAGTAGGGCCACCGCGAGTAGGTGTTAAGTAAAAGGAGAAGATGGAAGGGTAGGTTTCTTTTGTGTTAGTTTTGTGGGGGAGGTGGGGGAGAGAAGGTTTCCTTTGTGTTTTTACCGACAAATCAAAGAAATGTTCCTTTAATTTTTCAATTTGCCAGCTATTAATTCCCAAATGATTCATTTTTTAGAGATCTTGGGTTCACACGCCCTTTCTTTCTTTTTGCGCCGACCTTGGCCAGAATGTTGGGAAAAAAGATTTAGAAATTATGCAAATAACACTTAGAAATTATACATTATAATTGAAACTAATACATAAATAATTGACTTTGACAGCATATTTCATTATAGAAATTTTTTTACCAAAATGTTGCAGTATTAAAAATCTGGTTTTAAAAATCATAAGTTTGAAGAATTACGCTTTAAAATAAACGTTTACAATTGAGATTTTCTTAAGCACATTTTCTTACTTCACTTATATCGGAATTCTCGATAAGTAATTAAGTAATATAAGTGATGAATATAGTGAATATAAGTAAATTAAAGTTTTAAAATAAACGTAAGTAAGTTAAAATTTTCTTAATTCACTTGTATCTGAATTCTCGAGAGTATTAAAAATTTTTCTATCAATTTCATATGGTAAAATGTATTATTTTAAAACTAAAATATCCGTTTTAACTTCAAACTTTGTAAATGACAAAATTTTTTTTATTTACTTATGGTAAACTAGTTATGTTTTGCTCGTGTTAATAAAACAAGTTTTTATTATAGAACTATCTTTAAATTCAATGTTTCGTGTCCAACCCACTATGGAAAATTTCCATCCACGTAAAAAAGAACTTGATGAAATACATCGTTGTTTAGTCGAGAAACAAAATAAAAAAAAGCCTTTAGTATTATGTGGAATGTCTGGCGTTGGAAAGACACAAATAGCCAGAAAATATTGTGAAGAATATAGGAAGTTTTATGAAAACATTATATGGATAGATGCGGCATTTGGAAAATTAAGTACTTCAGTGGAAGCCCTTTATCAAAAACTAGATTTTATTGTTAAAGATTCAGAAAAATTTACAAAAAACAATTCTTTTGATATTATTGTAGCTATTGATAAAATACATAACTATTTTAAAAACGAAAACACTTTGTATATTTTTGACAACATTGACAATGAAAGTGTAAGAAACTTTACAATTTACATTTCAACGAAACCGAAGTCTTTTACTTTGATCACCACTCTATGGAGAACATGGTCAAATAACGTAAACCTCATGTCATTAGATGTTTTTTCCCCTGAAGATGCTTTAGTTTATATAAAAAACAACATTAAAACAAATTCAGACGAAAAGTTGAGAGAATTAATAAAAGAGCTTGGTTTTCATCCTTTTGCCATCACTCAGGCAATAAAATATATAAACGCACACTCAATTGCAATTGAAAAATATTTATATCGATATAGATTGCATCCCGTACAAATACTAGATGATGATAAATTTCCAACCGAAGAAGAATCAATGTCTGCTGTGCGAACTATAAATTTAGTTTTAATGAAATTAGAAAATGATGAAAGCATTTCTTTAAAATTACTGAACTGTTTATCACATTGCGATGGTCAAAATATCAGCAAACATTTTATAGTTCAGATTTCGAAATATATTGGAATAAAAGATGAATACTTCGTTGATGACGCCATAAGATTACTGGTCAGTTATTCCTTACTAGATTATTTAGACGATGAAAAATATTCAATGCACGATCTAACACAGTTGTCATGTAAATATTTTCAAAGTAAGAATTCCAGTACAAAAACATTCTACAGTCTTATGGAAAATTATTTTAGATTCGAGTTAAAAGATATAGACAATCATGTTGATTACGGAAAAGACTATGTTTTTCATTTTTTGAAAATGTTTCGAAAAAATAAAAAAAGTATGACGGAATCTTTTCACCGTTTATCAAGCATTATAAATGAATTCTTAACATGTAAAGGTTTATTTCAAGAAGAAATTGAAATACTAAAAGCTGTTCAAAGTTTCAATGCAGAAACTTATGGAGCAAATAATGAACTAACTCTTGAAACAAATCATAATATTGCAATCTGTTTGAGCGATATGGGAAAATATAACGAAGCTTTAGAAATTTATTATTCTTCTCATAAAATACAAACGGAAACTTTAGGTATCATTCATCCGTCAACAATTGGTACAAAAAATAATATCGCAATCTGTTTGAGCAATATGGGAAAATATAACGAAGCTTTAGAAATTTATTATTCTGTTGATAAAATAAAAACTGAAACTTTAGGTATCAACCATCCGTCAACAATTGGTACAAAAAATAATATCGCAATCTGTTTGAGCGATATGGGAAAATATAACGAAGCTTTAGAAATTTATTATTCTGTTGATAAAATAAAAACTGAAACTTTAGGTATTAACCACCCGTCAACAATTGGTACAAAAAATAATATCGCAACCAGTTTGAGCGAGATGGGAAAAAATAACGAAGCTTTAGAAATTTATTATTCTGTTGATAAAATAAAAACTGAAACTTTAGGTATCAACCATCCGTCAACAATGGATACAAAAAATAATATCGCAACCTGCTTAAGCAAAATGGGAAAATATAACGAAGCTTTAGAAATTTATTATTCTGTTGATAAAATAAAAACTGAAACTTTAGGTATCAACCATCCGTCAACAATGTCATTAAAAAATAATATCGCAAACTGTTTGAGCGATATGGGAAAATATAACGAAGCATTAGAAATTTATTATTCTGTTGATAAAATAAAAACTGAAACTTTAGGTATCAACCATCCGTCAACAATGTCATTAAAAAATAATATCGCAAACTGTTTGAGCGATATGGGAAAATATAACGAAGCTTTAGAAATTTATTATTCTGTTGATAAAATAAAAACTGAAACTTTAGGTATCAACCATCCGTCAACAATGGATACAAAAGATAATATCGCAACCTGCTTGAGCAAAATGGGAAAATATAACGAAGCTTTAGAAATTTATTATTCTGTTGATAAAATACAAACTGAAACTTTAGGTAACAACCATCCGTCAACAATTGGTACAAAAAATAATATCGCAAACTGTTTGAGCGATATTTTTTTTTTTTTTTTTTTTTTTAACATCTTCACTTCCAACAAGGCTGCAAGCAACCACTATAAGAGTTGGAAGTTACTGGAAGAGAAAAGACTAAATCTGTAGAGCAAGATAACGATTGACTGATGACTTAAAAGATTGCAAATTATATGAATCAGGAAAGCAAGATGAAGGAAGCGAATTCCAAAGAACTGATGTTCGAGGAAAAAAACTAGAAGAATAAGAGTTTTTGAAGCACTTAGGAACAGTCACAGAAAAAGGATGAGACTTAATTGAATGGCGAGTAACACGAGAGTGAATTTTAGTAGATGGCACAAGGGACGCTAGCTCTTTAGAGCAGTGCCCATTATAGTATTTGTAGAAAAGAGAAAGAGAAGCAACATTACGACGATGTGACAAAGGTTGGAGATTGGCTGCAAGAGCAGGTCCAACTATGTTTACAATTCGTTTTTGCACCTTGTCTAAAAGAGAAAGAGCATCATTAGAAGATCCGCCCCAGATGTGGCAACAGTATTCCATACAGGGACGGATTTGAGATTTATAGAGATAGAGAATAGAATCTGGAGTAAGAAAGTGTCGAGCTCGATAAAGAGATGCAACCTTAGCAGATATGGGAAAATATAACGAAGCTTTAGAAATTTATTATTCTGTTGATAAAATACAAACTGAAACTTTAGGTATCAACCATCCGTCAACTATGGATACAAAAAATAATATCGCAACCTGCTTGAGCAAAATGGGAAAATATAACGAAGCTTTAGTAATTTATTATTCTGTTGATAAAATACAAACTGAAACTTTAGGTAACAACCATCCGTCAACAATTGGTACAAAAAATAATATCGCAAACTGTTTGAGCGATATGGGAAAATATAACGAAGCTTTAGAAATTTATTATTCTGTTGATAAAATACAAACTGAAACTTTAGGTAACAACCATCCGTCAACAATTGCTACAAAAAATAATATCGCAACCTGCTTGAGCAAAATGGGAAAATATAACGAAGCTTTAGAAATTTATTATTCTGTTGATAAAATAAAAACTGAAACTTTAGGTATCAACCATCCGTCAACAATGGATACAAAAAATAATATCGCAAACTGTTTGCTGTATATGGGAAAATGTAACGAAGCTTTAGAAATTTATTATTCTGTTGATAAAATAAAAACTGAAACTTTAGGTAACAACCATCCGTCAACAATTGGTACAAAAAATAATATCGCAAACTGTTTGAGCAAAATGGGAAAATATAACGAAGCTTTAGAAATTTTATATTCTGTTGATAAAATAACAACTGAAACTTTAGGTATCAACCATCCGTTAACTATGTTAACAAAAAATAATATCGCAAACTGTTTGAGAGATATGGGAAAATATAACGAAGCTTTAGAAATTTATTATTCTGTTGATAAAATACAAACTGAAACTTTAGATATCAACCATCCGTCAGTATTTATGACAAAACTCAGTATTGCACTCTGTTTGATTAGTAGAAAGGAAGATGGAAGTTGTTTTTGACGTTGATTATTTTTTTTTTAGTTTTGATTATACTTGAATATATTATTGACAGTTTATTTATTACCAACAATTTAAATGAAATTCTTCTTAGTTTATTAAGTATTATATAATGTTTTACACTAAATCTGTTAATTTTAATTAGAAATAAATAATTAAAAGTAATAATCTTAATTCGTCACATCATGAAAATGAGATTTGTTTTATTTTGAACTGGATATTGTTAATTCTTGAGAAACTATTGTTACTTATTCTATGACTGTTGAAATTATTATGCATAATTATATTCTTATTAAAAGAATTAAAAAGTTTATCAGAGTTTATAAAGTAGTAATTAAATGAAGTAATAACTAAAATGAATGAAATTTTAATATTTCTCTTAGGTATAATTAAATGCTTATATCGTAGAACATTACGATTTACATTGTTAACAGATCTCGTTTTGACATCTCATGTCATGCCTTCTATATAAAATATTTTATATATAGAAAATAATTGAAAAACTGTTAAGATTTAAGGATTTAAAACTAATAGTTCCATAGACATATTTTAGGTTTGAAGCTGATATATTAAAATGCATTTCAAAATGATTTTGCTTATTGATTCACTCTACATATTTCTTTAAACATATACAAAATAAAAAGCAACCTAAATTTATGAGTTACAATCTAAAAACATAGAAAGTTCAAATTTTCAAATAATTTTTCTAATTGCTTATATTGCTTTATTTTTTAGCTAGATTTAAAAGAGTGTTTTTTTTTTTGAAAAAACTAATAATATTAATGGTTCGAATATTCTTTGTCCTTCATAGTATTGTACAGTATTAGCCAATCAATTAGATTTTTAACAGAATTACAAAGAAACTGGAATCAAATAGTTTTTAACTTAAATAAAATTGTTGATAATGAATATCAAGCCAGTATTATTTAATAAAATGAATAAAAAAACCTTCGAAGCATTTTATCGAGAGACAATCAAATTAATTTCTTTCTGTATATTTAAAACTTCCAGTGTCAGCCCATTAACTGCGCCATGCGTCAAAATAAACACTTTTGGACCTGATAATAACAATTTAAAGAAAAGTCCTATAATTTCTTCGAGCATCCATATATAATACTGTTAATGTGAAATTGAATCCTTAAATATTTTGATCTGACATAAAATTTAAATAAAAAGCTTGCACAAAAAGGATCTTCTTGGAGAATCACCTAAAGTTTTAAACGGGAAGTTTCTCAATTTATCGGATATGGAGAGACCGTAAACAGGGTTGTCTAAAAACAAAAAAGGAATAATTTTAATCCTAAACAAGGTAAAAATGTATTTTCGATTAAAATACTGTTTTTTATTAGTATTTTTTTTTTTTTTATTAAAAAAAAATGAACAATATTTTTCAAAATAATAAAGAAAATGAATAATTTTTCATACGCTAAACAAATGAATAATTTTCGCATACTTCACAAAACACAATAATTCATTATTTTTCAACTTTTTATTAACTAAAACAATAAGAAGAAGTATTAATATATCAATTATAATAACATTGTTCCAAATCATCACAATGGTATGCACCTGATTGACTTCTATAAGATTAATCTAGTTTTTAAAATCATTTTTCTTTGATAAAAATACTTATTTTTTCAAGTTTTAGATTTTTTTTCTTCTGGAGTATCATTAACATCTGGTCTTGCTTTTATGTCTCACTTAAATAAAGTACAAGTAAAGAATTTTTTTAACAACAAATTTTACTTTGTTTTTAAAAAAATTCTTTAAAAACTTGTCCAAAATATGTTCCCGAAACAGTGGCGCCAATTAGCTAACTTCCAAACATGGAGCAAACTCTAAACATTTATGCTTATACTTATGTCAAATAAGGATGCTTTTTAAAAAATTCAATGATTGGAGATTGGGAACAAAAAAGCCCTAAAATTTTGGCCTCCCCTGTCCCAAACGTGAAAGCAACAAGTTAATGAAATATTTTTTGTACTATTTTCAACTAGACTTACATTCATCGATAAATTTTAAGTTTCATAGTAAAACATTTTAGAGTTTAAAATTTATGGTCATATAAAGTTTAAATCCCCTTCAATTTGAGGGGGTTGCAGATTTTATATGGTCATTATTTTTAAATGTAGAGAGATAATAATATGAAACTTAAAATCGCTTGACCTCAACCAAGAAAGATTGCAAGAATGGATAATTTTATTTTGTATTTAAAAGCACACTCAAAAGCAAGTCAAACGCAGTATATCAATAAAATATGGATTTCATTGGTTTTGAATAACCAATAGATTAGTTACCAACACAGCTTAGTTTTGAGATATAATGTGTTAATATCATTTCCTTAATGTTGAATATTTTAGCAGCTGCAACTGCACATTATTTTTTCTTCTAAAACAGATCTTGCTGCTCTACTGAGCTGCTAACTTGTAAAAGCACCATTTGATTTCTTCAGGAAATTTCCAGTCTTGATGGGTCCTGATTCTAAAACACTTTTCACTGAGTTGTTCTTTGTGTAGCGGCCTTTTTCTTTAAGATTTGTGTTTCAAAATTATAGAGTTGAGAGAGGGTAATATCGGCCTTAGGGAGGTGAATTAACATAAAAAAATATATATATCTGCGTTGTGCATTTGGTCAGTTAACTAAAAGTCCGCCGATCTATAAAAGGTGAATCTAGAAATATCAAGTGCTGTGTCTTTTCTCTCTGGTAGAAGATTAAATGGAATTACATGAAATAAAAATTAAATTTCAAGCCAACCTGCTGTTTCTGCAATTATTTCCTTACCATTCTTGAAGTTCATCCTGAGTTGTTTGTAGTTCTATACAAGTATTGGAACAAATTTAATCCAACTTAATAATCCAAGTTCTTCATCCTTTACTATGCTAAGGAATCGGTCTAGAACATGATGTTGACTACCAGCTGGTAGTTTAAAAGCATTCAAAACTGATCTGCGCACAAAAAAATATAACAGAAACATGTTTATTTAGTAGGAGATATAAACATTGACTTACTCAACCATGCTTTAAATGCTGAGACTTTTTTATCGATACTGTTCTCGAGTATATTCTCATCCTAAACAAAGCAACAAGAGTATAACTAAAATATCATCAATATTGCTAGATAACATAACAACTAAAAAATTTCATAACAGCCGTTATATAACGGCTATAATCAGGACTGACTTAATTGATTATTTTTCTATATTCCTTAATACTGAAAGCATAACTCTTAACAATACTACCTTTGAATCCACAGTATTTATGAGACAAATAAATGAAAGTGTCATATGTCAATTTAAAAATTTTTTAAATAAATTGGAATTATAAATTTAAATCTCACAATGTAATTCTTAGTTTAAGCAGCCGTAGCCAGTGGTAGCGTACTTGCTTAAAAACAAAAAATTCGTGGCTCAAACCCTACCTCTGGGCAAGTTTTTTAACATCGGTTAGCAAAGAGGCTCGTTAACTTCAGACTCGTTAACTTCAGACTAAATCCTCGTTTGCGGTGCTTTCTGATAAGTCCGTAAGTACATCTTAGAGCACCGAAATAAAAGGAAAAAAAACAAAAAAAACTAATGCTTATGATTTATTTCTGAACCAATTTTTATAAAATGTATGAAAAATTTTCTTTAAAAGTAAAGGTAATAAATTCTAAGTCATTTCTATCTCCTTATTACCAAAGGTCTACTAAAATGATCACGGAAAAAACCAAAACTGCATGAAAAATATTTAAAATATAAAACTTATAAAAATGAAATTAATTACAAAAACTATAAAAAAAATTTCGAAAAAATTAAAAAACGATTAATAGTTAATTATGCTAAATTGCTTGAAATTAACAAAAGCAACCATCTAAAAACGTGGAATATTATTACAATAATATTCTCTATAGAGAATTGTAATATAAAAAAAAGAAGCTGAACAATTTTTTCCTTGATGTTGGTCCAAGCAGCGAAAGTTCCATAAGCTAGGTGCTTGAGTAAGATATGAATTAAATTTTTCATTTATAAAATAATTTGATTTATATCTTACAACAACTTAAATGATTATGTAACCAATTTTAAAAAAAGTAAACTGCATAATGCTTTTAATAGTCATTACAAAAATAAAAGAGCAGGTATTAATCAAATTAATGTTAATTTATTAAATTATTTATTAATTTATTCTGTTTTTATTAAAACTAATGTTAATGTTATTAAATTTGTTTTTAATATTATCAAACCCTCATTATTCTACACTTTTAATCTCTCATTTATATAAGTCATTCGAGATAAATTTAAAATTGAAAAACTAATACCTCTTTAGATGAGACTAATATTTACAACTAGAGACCTACTTCAGTCTTAAATAAGACCCTGCATTTCTAATTTATTTGAATTATATAAATATATATTTCTATAAATATTAAACTGAAAATTAAATTTTATACTGTTATCAATATGGTTTTTCCAGTTTCTTTTCAGTAGAACATCTTTGCAACTGACATCTTTGTAAACCAAGTCCTTCTTCTAGTTTTTTACATTAGTAATGCCCGTTGCAATACTCTTTATACTCTTACATAAATTGTACTCATCGAGAATAGCTGTTATACTTTTATCAACAGTATCCGTCTGGTAAATCTAGTGCTTGTTACTCAACATTTCTTTATTTATGAAAAAATACTTATCTTGTTTAACACTAACACTGTCTTTTTTTTATGGATAAAACCTTATTCCATTGATTGTATTTTCCACGTTTTACATATTTATCGCACTTTTTTAGCACTTGATCCAGTTTTACCAGTACAACCTGAATTGATAAATTTGGAAATTTTAATTTTTTGTCATAAACTTGTTACTTCTTTCTAAATTATGCGTTCTCGTTTTCCTTTGATGGGTTCTTCTACGAGCGGACAGAGACCAACAATTTGAATTTTGAAAGTGGTATCCTGCTGTTATTTTTCAGTGATTGTTATCCTTGTGGATCAGCTTTTTTTTTTCCAATTTACTCATAAAATTGAACAAGATTATTTATCTAGATTGTCTTGTTTTTTCAGTCGTGGAAGCACTATTTTTATAGGACTTAAGATAATACTTGAACAAATTTCTTGAAGATAAGAATAATAGATATAAGTGATTTTATATTTCTATATTATTTGACTGCCAACTGGAAAATACAAATTCATATATAGTTATTAAAGTTGCTTAATCAGGCAGCTTATATAGTTTCAAACAACACATATAGTTTTTTGTTCAGAATTAAAACCTGTATAGACACGTGTTTGTCACAATCAAGGTGTAAACCACAAGTTTAACATGCGTTTTTTTTGAGGTTTTTGAAGTCAAATTTAAATGTCGTATGGTTTTATCCGTGGTTTCACGTTACTTGAGGAAACTTGTTATAGTATAATATTACACATCCGTAAGGGTGAAACTATAAATATTTTAACTGGTATTTATGTAAAGTACTAGTAGATAAATTCACAGATAAAAAATCATTTATAGTAAAACAAGGGATAGAGCAATTATCTTTTTATATGGTTTTTCATATCTTTTTAAAGGTTTTTAAAGGTGGAACCGTTTTTACTGTTTTTGAAGAATTTTCATTTTTATTTTACTTTTTAAAAAGTCTCAATACAGTAATTGTTTAGGTATATATTTAGTAAATACCTAATAAGTTCCTCAAATCAAATAGTTCTCAAAACAAGCTCCCTACCTTGGGAAAGCAAGGTTTTCACAACAAACAAAACAGAATTTTAAACTTCTTTCCATTGGTGTTCCTAATGACGAATTTTGGTGAAATAGTAACCCAATTAAAACTTACCATTAAAATTACTTTGAATGTCTTTTTGGCGTAATTTTTACAAAATCAATTATTTTTAAAAAGTTCAAAAAACTCAATACATTAAAATTATATTGCAATATTAATTGTCCAGTTGAATAAATTGATAAAAATATTTAATCTTTGAAAAAAAAAAAGTTTAAATTAAATAAAAGCAAATAGTTAATAGTGCAAGAGGTTGATGTATAGTTATTGCATGTTTTTTCAAGTCAGTTTTTATTAATTGTTTAGTATTTATATATATATATATATTTTTGTTATATACACTCTTAAAAAAGTTCCGGTAAATTGACGGAAATTTCAGGCAAAATACCTGAACTACTTCGTGCCGTATGGAACCAGACGAACATTCAGGTAAAATACCTGAACCTGAACTGTTTCAGGATTTTTACCTGAACCTGAACTGTTTCGGTTCCGGTATTATGCCTGAACCTGAACCAGTTCAGGTTTAGGTAAAACACCTAAACCTGAACCTGAACCAGTTCAGGTTCAGGTATTTTGCCTGAATGTTCGTCTGGTTCCATACGGCACGAAGTAGGTTAGGTATTTTGCCTGAAAGAGTAAATATTCCAAATCGCGATTATAAACTAACTTGGTTTAAGCGTAAAAGCGGTATTAGTTTTTATTAGGCCTGAAGATAGTAAAAATTCAAAATCGTGATTATAAATTAATACGGTTTAGCTGTAAAAACGATATTTTATTTTCAGAAAGTCAATATATTTAAAAGTAAAATTTATACAAATTTACGCAATATAGCAATAACAATGCATATAGCAAATAATAACCAAAATATAATTGTTTCTGCGTTTAAAATTGATTAAGTTTTTGTCTAAGGTAAAGGGACAAGTCACTCGCTCCTCTCGATAGATGCATTTCATCTTGGTAACCTAACACGGTATGCTGCAAAAAGTACAATATGTGGCTACATTGTTCCGCATACTCCATGTTCATTAAAAAATAAAGTTTAATTAAGATGTCAACAGCATAAGATATACACCTGTTGACAGGAATAGCTCGACACTCTGTAACAATAAATAATTGACCGACACTGCAATGAGTACCCAAAGCTATGACTAACGGATGCTTGTGAGTAAGACTTTGAAGCACAATTTCCATCGGAGTTGATGCCTATTTAGATGTAGAAATGAAATAAAATAAGTCATTAAAAAAGGTAATTTTGATACAAAATAAATATAAATGTCAGCCTATTAGAACTAATACTATATTTACTATACTTAATGACTAAAAATACAGTAGAATCCCGTTAACTTGGACCTTGGATAAGTCGTACAGATTTTCAATTCCCCTTGAACTCTCTACATACCCAAAACTTCGCATAACTCGGACATTTGCTAAGTCACACTATTTATGAATTCCCCTTCCCTTGAGAGTCCGACTCTCAACGGGGCATTTTTCTGTATAATAATGTTAATAAAATGTATAGTTATTAAATACATTTTATTATGCCTATTAATACAAACTTAGTATTATATTTAACATGTATAAATTTATATCTAATAGAATCTAATATTACAATATACCGGATAAAATTGAATGAAATGTTCTGCAACTTCAGCAGCTGATGCACAACTTTTATTCTTTGATGGTACTTTAATTATAAAGGGGAGTAATAACAATGCAAAATCCATTTCAATTCCTGAGTTAAAAATAAAATAAAAATTTAGTGAAATCATTTTATCAATATATAATTTATTAGAATGGTTTTAGATATCTATAATACACCCAGCCATATTGTTTAGATAACACTTACGTACCTATAGAAGGGTTGTCTTGCATATCAAGCTCAGCAAGCATCTGCTTGACCATCAAATTTGTCTTTTGCCTTGCCCAAGAGATAACATGTGGCGTTATTAACTCCCATTGAGCCAAAAAATCATTCAACTCTGCGAAATTGCAACAGAAATCTTTCTGAAACTAAGATAGGAATATAGTATAAAAATGTTAGTAAAATTTTCTTTCATTTTATAATATTTCAACAAAACCTATGTCTAATATATAAAAATTACAAGATGTATCTTCTATGAATTACAAGACATTTCATTTTTGTGTTTGAATAATTTTAAATATTTATTGGTGAAAAGTTTGAATGATAATACGATGATTTTTATTCTTACGTGTATGGATAGATCTTTTAGTGGCAGAAATGTTTTGAGTAAATCATCAAATGTTGGCCTACAATTCACAATCCATTTTCGACGAGAGCATGAAGTTTTTTCCATATAGTCCAACTTTTTTTCATAGCCTAAGTCATCAAATCTCAACTCTGCAATCATACTTAGTTCTTCTTTTGAAAAAGGTGCTAAAAAAAATAAATTTATAAATTAAAAATATTTTACAATATTTAGATATATTTAAAATGTATTTTTTAGCTAGTTGTTTATTTACTAATTGTTTATATAATTTATTAGGAAAACTAATTACAATATTGAGTATTAGGTAAATGTCTTAATTAAATGAAGAAAGAGTGCATGAAAAATATACTAAGCATTAAAGTACCTGATGAGTGGAACTCTTCTGCTAAAACAATAACTCTCTTTCGACAAGCTTGAACATGAACACCAACATGTTTACGCATAGTTTTCAGTCTCTCTTCTATGTGGCCATGAGGAGTGACCTTCTTTTTCTTATTACCCATTACAAATTCTGTATATGGACTATAATAGTTTTCCTAAAAATAATATTTTTTTGTAAAATTAGATTTCATTACCTCATAGACAAGTTGACCTATAATTGACAAATTGTAAAGATACTACTACTTATAACAATAATAAGTTTACTACTAGTAATAATTAGTATCCTCCTCGACTGAAGTGGCCCTTATTTTGGGGAGGTGAAATATATAAGGGGAAAAAAATTAGAAAAATGTCTCTAATAGTCTCACATATCCAAGTTTTCCACCAGAATGCAGCTTTGGAAAGGCAGTGGTAATTGCTTTTGCAAGATTAGATTTGGTTTTTGTGGAAGGATACCTAAAACATATATATTAACAAAAATATTTTTATATTTATATTAAAATTTATTATAAGCAAATGTTTGATAATTTTTATAAATAACTTTATAAATAATTTGTTATAAACTAATATTTTCATTGTTATGTCAATAGTTCCATAATAATACGGAAATAAACATAAACTTACATATTTCCAACGCTATGGACCATTGAGTTAACAACAGTGTGGATCATATCTTGACGCCTTTTAATAAGTGCACCTGTAGAATCATATTCTGCCAAAACAAGCTTACCTGTTTGATGCTCATCAAGCAAACTACGTATGTTCTACATAAAAAGAAGATCTTCATTTGTATAAGTTGAAAATTTATTTTTTTTAAATTATAAAAAGAATTTATTTAATTGCTGAAATAATGTGGTGTAAAATAATGAACTAAGTATAAACAAAACACTTAAAAAAATAAGTTATATTATAAGTTATAAGGTATACTTACAAAGTCAATGTTATCCAATCTTAAAGCAACCTGTACATCAGTAATAGAAACATTTAACTTAATTTTTCTTGACTCGTTTAAAACGTCAGGTGAAAGTTGAAGTGTCGAATATAATGTTGGTGACACAGCTGACTCATCAAGGGGGCTGTTTAAAGTTTCAGTTAAACTGAAAGCTATAGCTGTTGTATCTTTTAAGCTTGTTACGTCTTTTAATACACTATCGTTTTTCTACAAAAAAAAGCAGTTTATATTTACTTCTGTTTATTAAAGGAATAAAAATGTTTTATAATCATATTTATAAATATATATATATATATATATATATATATATATATATATATATATATATATATATATATATATATATATATATATATATATATATATATATATATATATATATATATATATATATATATATATTGTTGTTTTGATTATTTGAGAATAATCAACTCTTTTTCGATTTGAGAGTGATCAATATAAAGTGAAATAATCACAAAATAGATCAATAAATAAATAAATAAAAGGTTAGATGAGAAAAAACAACTTTTTTACGGTACTTAAAGTTTCATGCCGTTTTCGGCACTCATCAGCCATATATTCAAATCAAGAAAAAACCGTTCAAAAATACAACTAAAAAACCGTTACAAAATTCAAAAAAAACAATGGAATGAGTTCTGACGTCAAATAATTATAATACAAATAATAGCAATAATAATAATGATTATAATAATAATAATACAATAATAACAATAATAATAGCAATAATAATAATAGCAATAATAACAATATTATGGAAAAAACATATTTTCTAATCGCCAGTGTCAAATTGAGAAAGGAGGAATCTGTTTCTATGTCTGCACTTAGAAACAATCTCACTCCTTTTATTTAGTAGATTGGTATTTTTATAATTTAGGATTTCATATTTTTCGGTGAGACATAATTTACAAGACTTGGATGTAGGATTATATGCTTTACATCGCCTGAGAATTTTCCACTTAACTATAGGAACTAAATTGGCTTCTTTTATTTTCCATACCTGCTTTGACAGCTCAGTATCATTTTTGTATTTTGGGATGTTAAAAGATTTAACGTGGTTAGCGTATCTCATTTTAAAAGAAGTCTCACTTACACCTTTCAGTTACAGTTTTCTTGATTAGAGTTTGCATCGTTGTATAAAATGTACTTGTTGTGGGAATTTATGATCGATTTCACACTTGGCATACAACTGTAGCTAACTTTGACTGTGTTCCTGTTAAAGATTTTATGTAGTTTGTTATTGTTAGGAAAATGTTTGCCAATTAATTTCAAAAAACATTTTCCTACGTTAGTGCTAACATTTTTGCTAAATGGAGAATTAAACCAAATGATGTTGCGTGCTCTGTTCCGTTTTTTAGTTGATATTGCTTTAGGATTATATGTTAGATTACATTTAAACCAGACTTTAATAAAGCCTCATTATATAGAGGAACAGCCTGTTGAAATATTTCTTTGGTAGAAGAATTTGTAGATAATCTAAGTTCAACCGAGTGTGGTACTTGTTTTAGTATACTTGGAGGGTGATTTGAATCAGCATGGATATAATTTAATGTATTATCAGGTTTGAGATAAGGTTTAAAGGTGCACTCACTAAGATTTAGAGTGACGTCGAGGTAGTTGACAATTTTCATGTTGCATTGTATAGAAATCCGTAAGCCATTGTATTTAAATATTTCGGAAAGATGCTTTTTTATTTTTTCCATTTGAGAGCCGCTTTTATTCACGATTATTGCTATTATTTGTATTATAATTATTTGACGTCAGAACTCATTCCATTGTTTTTTTTGAATTTTGTAACGGTTTTTTAATTGTATTTTTGAACGGTTTTTTCTTGATTTGAATATATGGCTGATGAGTGCCAAAAACGGCATGAAACTTTAAGTACCGTAAAAAAATTGTTTTTTCTCATCTAACCTTTTATTTATATATATATATATATATATATATATATATATATACATATATATATATATATATATATATATATATATATATATATATATATATATATATATATATATATATATATATATATATATATATATATATATATATATATATATATATATATATATATATATATATATATATTGTTTTGGACACGTTATAGTGAGTTATAAATACTTTTAGATTTTGTTTATTTAACCAAACTATTTTTAGCAACTTAGTAATAAGCTTTTCTTTAACTGCTATCTTAAGAATTAAGAACTAAGTAAAATATACAAATTAATAAAACTAAAAAATCATTTTAATACATTGCAATGATACAAATGGTGACGTAAAATAATATGCTTGTATATACATGAAGGTTTTAAACAATGAACAGCATCAAAAGGTTTATAATCTGCTAAGTCACTTGCTCTCAAACATACACGCTCTGAATCGAGAGAACAACAATACGATAGAGTCAGATCACAATACATGTGGACAAGCCACTTAAGTCAAATAAAATAAATTACACTGTGATGAACATATATTTGTTCAAATATATGTTATATTTGAACAAATATATGTTCATCACAGTGTATATACACTGTGATAAACATATATTTGTTCAAATAACTCATGATGCTCTGATACAAGATCTTTTAAGTACAAAACATGCGACAGTACAGAGTTTGGCAATAAAATAATTTCTGTCAGCTGTTTTAGCAATTGGTACAAACGCCATTTTAAATTATCTACTTTGTCAATAACATCAGCTAAAATACATGGTAAATGTAAAAACAAAATCAGCATCTGAGCTGACCTTTGTCCAAGCAATGAGCTGTGACTTTTTAAATGTGACTCACTTATAAAACTTGGCTTTGAGTTACTAACCAGACCATAATCCATTGTATTAATACGACAATTAAGCCCATGGAGATTAATAAGCTTCAAGTCATAAAGTATGTGGCGCAAAAATAACTTGACTTCAAACGGAATTACACTTTCAAACAAATCATGCATTATATCGGCTGAGTCATTACAACCAGGATGGTAATAGTTCAAACTTTTTAAAGTTGAGGGACGCTTTATGCCACACTCTTTATGTTGCTCATATGATTGTTGTGTCCTCATTGTAAGAGAATATTCACAAAATACTTTTTGCATCTCATCCTGAGTTGCCATACACAAGTCACAAGCAAATGAAGCACTGCTAAAATTTTCCATGTATCCAAGAATTGCATGTAGCCCTAAATTATCACCAACAACTTGTGTTAAAAAACAACGAATATTTATCTCTTTTCCATCACAAAAAACAGTAAAGCCCTCATCATGTAAGTCTTTTAATTGCTGAACAATAACTTCCATAACAGGATCAGTGGTGTACCGTTTAATGTCTTCCGAATGTGCCAAGGCCAACAAATGAATATTGCTTAATGCAGAATTTGCAGCTGGTGGAAAGTTTTTTATTGTGAAATAAAATGCACTTAACTTATGTATTCCAGTTTTGGATCCAAGCGGATTTGTTGTCTCTACCTCATCAAAATAAATCTGAATAAATACATGAATACTGTTAGGAAAATAATGTTTGGCATATGTTTTTAGCTGTCTCCCATGCTTACCGTCTAACCAATCTTCTGCTATATCATTTGCTGACTCATTGTTTCTTTTTAAAATTTTCCAAGTCTCAGGTTGTCGCAAAACCAATTTCAAAGTTTTTTCAATTGGTATAAGGTAAAATTTATTTTTTACACACACCTGCATTTGTTGCTTTGTTGATCTGTCTCGCTTAACATCCCACCGATCTCCTATTGAATGTGTTTCAGGTTCAACATAGAGACCTTTTACTTTAAGATAATTCAACATTTTATAATGAGTATCAATGCCTTTTAAAGGATTTTTCCAGTTGTTAGATGCTTCTGAAAGAGTATTAAATGTTGCGGCATCACATCTGTATGTTTTTAACACAACGCCTGTCTTGGCAAGCAGATAATTAATAACATCTTTTAACAACTCATTTAAACTATCCATTATGAACTGAGATACGCTTAGAGAAATGGAACTAGATTGCAGAGACATCAAAAATTTTAATGCTGCGTGTGAAACACCATACTCGTCTACAATAGGTGCAATAAAAACACTTTTTTTTGTTAAACTTTCAGAATATAAAACCTCATTGTAATCTTCAGCTAAGTATTCATTTTCTGTATTTTGGATAGTAATATCTGAATGTTTACCAACTTCTTTCAAATTATTATGACACATATGAGTTTTTTTAATGTGTTTACGTAACACTTTATAAAGTGTGAATGTGCGCATGCAACCATCAGCATTGCATCGTAAAAAACAAGGTTCAAACAAAAGGTGCGTGTTTCTTAAATGATAAGTGTAATCATTAGTGGATTGAAATTTTTTTGTGCACAAGTAACAACTCAGTCGTAAAAATCCCTGAAAAATATCATGTAAAATATAAAAATAATGTTACACTAATGCATTAATTTAATCATCATAATTTATATTTAACTAAAAATATATTTTTAATAAAAAATAAATAATATTTTCTGAGCTCCATATTTTATTAAAATTATATTTTTCACCTTTTTTCCCTCAATTATGGCTTGAATTTTAATGGTCTGGCCCATTTTGATGCCCATTGCATGCAGCAATAATGTATTCAACTCCAAAAAAGCTGTCCCGTCAATTTCTTCATCTAAAATAATAATCAATAGTATATTTAGTAAAAGAACTATATATCTTTGTTTCAATAGAGTTAAAAGAAACTTTTTCATATTTTAATACAATTTAAACAGTTTATAATCAGTAATATTTTGGACTAATTATTACAACCAGCACTTTATAAAAATAGTAGAATTCAAAAATCCAAGTGCACATCTATTACTTATTTACTTTAATTATTTACTTCTTTTTTTTTACAAACTTAAACTTAGTTGAACTAAGTTAGACTTTGTAAATTTAACATATTATTATAATATACTATATCGATATGATAAATAATATAAATATATTTTGACATCTATACACATCACATTCTATATGGTGTTTATCATAAAAGTTATGTATTATGTGATGTGTATAATTTATAAACTTTATAAATAAAAATATAAACATACAATGAAACTTATAAATTTCATTGTATGCACATCTTTTTATTTGTAAAGTTTATAAATTATACACATAATACATAACTTTTATAATAAACACCATATAGTCTATAGTCACATTCTGTATTTATTTTAAAATCACAATTATTTATCATATCGGTATAATATACTATCATAATATTATAATATACTAGTATATTAAATAATATAATATAATAGTATTGTATACAATATGATATCGATATAGTATACTATTTCAATATTATATTGTACTATACTATTATATTATATTATTTAATATACTATTATTATCTAATACTATTCTATTATACTATTATTATCTAATATACTATATTATTTATAATATAATTATAATGATAATATATTTATCATATTAGTATGATATACACTATATATAGTGTATATCATACTAATATGATAAATATATTATCATTATAATTATATTATAAATAAACTATTTATACCATATATTATCATGATATATATATAGTATATATGTATAGTATATACAGTGATATATAGTGACATGATATATATTATACATATACTATATATTATATAGTATATATGTTAATAATATGATATACTATATCATATGTTTATATCTTACCTTCTTTATATCTATACACTCATACATACATGTATATAATTCAAATATGTCTTGAGAACAAGAGAAGTGTATATATAGTATATAGAGAAAGAGAAGTATATATACACTACACTTGTTCTCAAGACTATATATATTATATACACAATACACATCTCTTTTACGTACGTACGCGAAATATTTTCGGAAAAAGATGAAAAGGTAGCTTACTTTTAAGCTTTTCTGTAGCATCTATAGATATTCCTTTTGATAACAAATACTCTGCTAACTGTAACTCTGACCACTTTTTAAAGCTCATTTTTTTTAAAAAAATTTAAAATAAGAGAATGCATGCACATGCGACATCTAAAAAGTTTAATGGCGATTGCCGCTGGCGCATAAAATTTTTTCACATTTTCAGGCAATTTACTTGATGTTTCCGGTAAAGAACCTGAACATTCCGGTAGAAAAGTTCACGAAACTACTTTTTCCTGAACATTTTAGGAATTTTACACAAAGTGTTCAGGTGGTTTGCTAAAATACCTGAACTTTTACGGCAATTTGCCTGAATGTTTGAATTAAATTGCCTGAATGTTCAGGTAAATCTTTCTACCTGAACCATTCCGGCCAGAGTTTGACTGAACTTTTTTAAGAGTGTATTGTTATACTATTTACTAGCAAAAGGCAACCCGTAATACGGGTTTTGGTCGGTCTGTTACATAATTAATTTATAGTAGCTGTTTTCCACAATTTAATCTTGCAAAACCTTAACTAATACCTTTTTAGAAAATTGCCTTCAGCTTGAAAAAATTAATCCATCTGTAAAATTAACATAAAAATTATGAGGAGGTAAAATAATTTACCAAATACTACTTAACATTATTAAGTAATTTACAAATGGCACAGGTCATAACAGTGTAAGGCAGAACCATTTTCATCGACCTTCCTAAGTTTAACACAATACGTTTTTAGTTACTGACGCAAAATAATAACACTTGGTTATACTTTAAATTGACGAAAGTGTCAACTAAATCCTTAAAATAATTTTTATAACACGAACCATTAAGATTAAAATGAAGTTAATATTATACAGGAGTTATCAATTTTTTGTTATCCCCTTGATTAATTGTTCTTTAGAAAAGAAAATTGGTAACTTAAAAATGTTAAATGCACACGTTTAAATAAATTTATAAAAAATAACAAAGTTTATTATACTACGCAACTGAGTACAAATACCTTTCAAACAAAAGAAAATTTAATTTACGATCAAACATAGGTATAACTAATTTTTTAATACATTAATGCATCATAGAACAAACTAAAATAAAAATTATAAGAGATAAGTAGACAAAAATTTGTAAACCAAGCTGACCCGACCCGGGTCTTGTTAAGTCTGTTCAACACAGACCATTTGTATATCATTTATTTGGCCTCTTTATTTTATTAAATTTTTAGTAAACGGTAATTTGCCTCCATTTACTAAAAATTCCTTTTGTAACTCGAAATTTAATTTTTCTAAATATTTTGGCTCTAATAAAGAGGTTCCTTCCCTCTTTTTGCTTTAATGGTGGCCTGCTGAATAAAATAAAATATTAAAATGTAAAACAATGATCTACTTATATAAAAATGTTTTCTTTCTTTCCTCAAAAGTGTTGCTAATACAGACTAAGCTAACTAATTAGTTAAACACATAAATAAAACTTAAGTAACTCGATATTAATGCGCAAAACTACAATATTCTCCGTATTTTTAAAGGTTTTTAGTTACGACCGCCCAATCAACCCATACGACCCCCCAATCAATTCTCTCTCTACAATTCTCAATACTAATTCTTATTTAAGTCTCATCTAAGAGAGAGAGGAAGTGTTTTAAAAACACCATGTTAGAAAAAGTAAAAAAGTCATGCAATAAATAACAGTAACTGGTTTTATTATGCTACCAATAAACAAAATTATTTTTACCTTAACTAAAAGTTAATTTCCAGCATTTCTTAATTTATTTCCAGCTTCTCTCTAACTGTTGACAAATGATTAATATTGTAAATTTCACATCATATTAAATTTACAAAATTAAAACCATGTTTTAACAGTAAGCAAAATAATCAAGTGATGATAAAGACAACTAAAAAAAAAATGAACAATTATATTAAGATTACAAAAGTAAAAAAAAAAAAAAAAAAAAGAAAATCATTTAAAACTGAAATTTTTATTATTTGTTACTATAAATAGTAAAATTCATACTTTGCTTTATTTTAAAGTGTCTAATGTAAAGTCAAATAATAGACATCAACAGCGCTTGACACTGAATTCTGCCAAGTAAGTTTTTGGTTCATCAAGCAAAATTTCTTATATTTCAACGACAATTAATTTTATCATGCCTAGATCTATTTCTTTCATATGACAACAATTTCAAGTCACCTATAACCATTTACACTAATAACTTCTTCGAGCCTAATATTATAAATCTGTTATCATTAAATATATATTACCAGTGGTTATGCTACTGTTACAACTGAATAAATGAACGTTTTATATTTTTACAACTGAAAAATATAAAACAAAATTTATTTACATTATTTTAATTTAGCAAAGAATTTAGAACACAGTGCAAAGTTATTTGCATTGTGTTCTAAATTCTTTGCTAAATTAAGAAAGCCTTCAGGTACAATCTTAATGCACAAAAATAATAAATGCAGAATCTTGTATAAAAAATGAAGCAATGTCAGTCTAAAGTAATATATATGTATGTATATATATTCAAATTTTTTCTATTCTTAATTTTTTCTTTGAGATAATATTCATATAGATTCAGAGAAATATAAAATATTCCGATATATAGGCACATTTAAGTATATAAACTTACCTGTCAAAAATTACAGTCAGTTTTTCATGTTAAATACATAAAATATATATCTAATATAAAATTAAACAAAAAATTAAACTTACTCAAATCAGTAACAGTTCGACTGTCTATATATTTTTATTATTAACCCTTCTATTTAAAAAATAAAAACAAATGATTTGAAGTAACTAAAAAGCACTTTAGCTCTTTCCAATTGCACTAAAAAATAAAATAAATCTTGCTTGCTAAGTTGCCTAATTATTAAGAATCTGATAACAAATAAGTAAAAAACCAAGAACAAACAAACATTTATTTACTAAAACTACTCTATTTAAACAAATTAAAGTATACAGAGAACAACATTGATACTCCTTGAAAGCTGAAAATTTATCTCAAATTTGCTTGTAGACCTTGCTTATGAAACCACTTGAATAAGAAAAGCATCAAAAAAGCCTAGAAGCTGGTATATGCTACATTGAATTTTAAATGTTGATTGGTGTAGATATTTTTAAAAAATTCAAAATGATTTGTTCTTCTATAGCAAATAAATACACCATAAATCTGAAGTTAAAAATGTAATGAATAAGTAAATACAAAGAAAAACATCATATGTGAATTAAAAATCAATGTACCTGATAGAGATAAGCTGCGGTGATACCTGAGTAGTATCACCGCATACACGTATTTATCAAAAAAATTTTTACTTTGATCATAATATAAATGCAAACATATATGCAAACTTTTAACAACTATAAAAGAACATTTATTAGCATCAATTATTTTTAATGTAACAAAGAATGCAGACTACAATGCACGACATTGTTAATAAAAATGAAGTTATGTCAGTCAGTATATATTTATCTAAAGTAGTGAAAAAGAATAAACCATTTAAAAACAAAATTAAAAATTTTTAATGAATATATATTTAGATACCTTAAAATGAAGCATAACACAACTCTCTTTTGACAAATTCCAGAGCAAATTTTTAAAAATTTTCTATTCCTTATTATTTTATTCCTTATATCGATAAAATACATATTAAATGCCACATTCAACTAATGTAATTAATACCTTATTTAGATCTCTCTTGATTAACTAAAGTATTTAAATTTTAAATAAACTCTAACTAAATTTTAACAAACAACCAAAATAAATCTTCATATTAATAGTAGGTTATTAAGTTGAGTAATAGATCAAACAATTTAATCTACTCTAATAATCTACTACCTTATTAATAAACTTTAATTTTTTTTCTAAGACTCAGTGTAACTATAATATAGATATTTTTAAAGTAAAAAAGAATTTAATATTATAATATATATGATTTAAAAAACCTGAAATTTTAAATCTACCTCGAAGAAAACAGATATATAATAAAAAGTATTTTTATTTCTTTTTAAAAATTTTAAAATGCTTTATAACTTACTTGTTTCATATTATTACCAACGTCTAAATAGAAAAACAAAGATATATGAGTTATATATAGGATTTTAAAATATATATGATTTTAAAAAACTGAAACTTTAAATCTACCTCAAAGAAAACAGAGATATATTGAAAAGTATTTTTATTTCTTTTTAAAAATTTAAAAATGCTTTTTAACTTACTTGCTTCAATATTGTCATCATCTAAATAGAAAAACAAACAAACATTTAAGTCGACTTATTCTTAAATCTAGTTTAATTTCTTCAATAATAAAAAAAATTTAATCTTTTAGGATTAAATTCATTTACAAAAATCCGTTTAAACCATTTTAACATTGTTAAGTTAATTTAAAGTTTCAAAAAAACTGAAACTTTAATTCTACCTCAAAGAAAACAGATATATATTGAAAAGTATTTTTATTTCTTTTTAAAAATTTAAAAAGACTTCTAAACTTACTCCCTTCAATATAATTATATAATATATATAGTATATATGATAAATAAACCTCCACAATTTCCTTGGTTTAACAATTCGATTATGATTTATAACAACTCTGTAAACATAAATTTTCTAATAACCTAAATAAATTACAGATAGACAAACATAAACTAACACAATTAAATCCTAAACCAAAATTCATTCATGCAAGACAAATAATTTTATATTTATTGAAGAGCCAGAAACATATTTTTTTTCAAAGAGCTAAAGTATTAACAATATTAAAGACAAATTTTATTTATAACAAAATTTTCCATAAAAATTAAATTAAGATAAATTTATAACAAAATGTTGTCATGGCTTTTATCCCAATAACCAAAACTAAGTGAAAGCATGAAACTACCCATAAATATATTTTAACGCTAGACACAAATTAAGAATTAAAGTAATCTATAACACGAAGCTTTAAATTTAAAATTACAATTTAAAAAAGATTACAATAAATTAATTACTTTTAAATTAAAAAAAAAATTTAGATTACCTATAATTTTAAGCTACTAAACATTATCTACTTAATGTCAACTTAGATATTTTGAACTCGTACCATGAAAGGTTGAAGGGAAATCTGTAAGTAAGCACGCGGTAAAGAAAAGTTTAGAAACT